ATTCAACATTTGATTGTTCAGGCCTGACTGTGGATTTACCGTTATCTTCCTCTGCTTAACATTTAAAGCTGCTCCCCTGGCTCAGTATTTGCAGTAGGAAATTTATTAAAACATCTAGCCTGGGATTCTTTAACACACACAAGGCGTACTGGAGTATAGATTCAACATTTGATTTTTCAGGTCTGACTGTGGATTTACTGTTATCTTCCTTCCGTTAACACTCAAAGCTGTAATTGCACATTCCTTAATGTTAAACCTCTGAACAGGAACAAAGCATCAAGCAGGATTTGTATTTGAACACATCCTGAGATGCTCTGACTCAAACCTCTGAAGGTATGTTACATAGGTGGGCTGTCCTCTCACTAGACATAGTGAAATTAATTACTAGTTTGAGTCAACATAACACTGCTTTCCAACAATGAAATCTCAAACCAACTGCCAAGTATGGTGGTAGGAATATCATGGTTTCGGGTTGGTTTGCTGCCTCAGGACTCAGGCAGCTTGCCGTTATTAACATAACCTTACATTTGGTGTTGTATCAGCAAATTCCAGAGGAGAATGTCAGGCCATTCATTCACCAGCTGAAGCTGAGCTGAAAGAGGGCCATGTAGCAAGACAGTGATCCTTAACATACAAGCAGATCTGCAACAGAATTGAGAAAGAAATTCCACATTTTGGATTGCCCAAGTCAATGTCTTGATCTAGTTGTAGAAAGACCCTATTAGCAAAGTCATTCATTCAATAAAACCCTCAAAAGTCACCGAGTTGAAGCAGTTCTGCAAGGAAGAAAGGACAAAAATCCCTAAATTTCAAAGTGAAAGACTGCTAAACAATTACAGGAAATGTCTAGTTGAAGTCATTGCAACTGAAAGAGGTGCTATTGTTACAAGTCATGGGGAGAGATACATGCAACAGTTAGTGTTACTGTCAAATTGTAAATGTACATTTAAAACATCCCTTGACACTCATCATTCCTCCTGGATAGACACTTTGTATTATGAGGAAAACAGAACTGCAGCTGAGAGCACAGATTGCAAGTATCCAGTTTTAACAGTGCAATTCTCATGCACAATTTACTTTTTCAATAAAAAAGCACAACCAACATCTTGCCTCAATTCACTCTACTGAAATTTAATGGTAAAAAAAAACACATTTCCAGTATCAGTTTGAAAAGAATTCTGATTCATCAAAATACTGTACCAACTGTGGAGTTGTCTGCATACTGTATACTTTAAAGTATACAGTAACTAGAGTGATAGTTACTTAAACAGCTGCTAACATGTTAAATTAAAAGAAATACACAAGGTATTTGTGTCTCCTGGTGTTTCTCATTTACTTCTGAGGGAACTCTCCGTTTCTGTGTCAAAACTCCACTCAACTGTTAAAATCCATTAGTACAGTTGGTAGATTCTAATATGCAAGTAACTTTTTATCTCCCTTTTTACTATAGCTGCTTGCATTCAAAAAAACATGTTGAAAGACAGTTTTCTCTGTGTGCATCACCAGTTACTGAATTGAATGGTTCACTTACTCACACAAAAATTTACTGTTATTTCTTAATGAAATAAATGCATTGTATGTTATACATTTAATCAGCTTATTTTCATTTTTTATTTAGATTTTCATAGATTTAATAAAATTCTAGGTAAAAACAAATCTATGAGAATACAGACCAATCTATGGGGTTCACAAACATTCTCGAAACTGTAGAAGCTAAAGCACACGAGCTAGAATCAGGTCTTACTCTAGTCTTAAACGTCTGTGTACTGGTTTCCTGAAGTGTTTTACATAGGTATTAAAATCATCTGCTTACATTCAAGATTCCAGATATTTCAGCACTTCAGCAGCTATTTTTCATGCCTTAAAGCTTTGAAAGAGAAATCAGGGAGCCAGTTTGATATGCTTTTACTCTAGCCAACAACTTACTTTTCAGGAAATATTGTTTGCAAATGTAACATGTATTTAGTATATGCTTTGTTTCCTTGGCTTTGTTATTTGAAATTGATTGTGCAATGTGTTTTGTGCATTTTGAAACAGTACCGTTTTTCTTGAAAAAGACAATTGTTAACTCCTTCAAAAACTATGCAGTAACAAAACAGGCGGCAAAATAAAATTACACAGAACCACTGTTACTGAGCTGCATCTGCAGAAAGTACCTGTCAGCTTTCAAGTCCTTAATGGTGTCCTTCTCTCTGCCTGGAGTCCTACTCTTAGGTTTCAGATGAATCGGTCTTGTCACAAATAATCTTGTGTGTGTAATGCCATTTCAAAAAACAGTTATAAAAGATTATGCATGTTATTCTATTATACAATATATAGACATTAAATCAATACCAATTGATTTAATGGCTTAACAACTAAACCACATATTTCAGTGTAACAGTGTAACTAAATAGGTTGTTTTAAAGTTATTTAACTTATTGTTGCTGCTGCTGTTCTGTGCTTGTTTTTGGCGATTCCTTTAATGTCTTTGTATTGGAGCACACATGCGAATAAGAACTGAACTGGATATAAGCCTGATGATTGTACCACAAGCACATAAATTACACTCAGCTGTCTTTAAAAAACAGTTTTAGAAGTGGTGGAGGTAGCCTGTACTGTATGCTTTATACATGTTCACATATACGTGGTTTTTCACTCAGAACTGTCACTGTAACAGATATGCAAACCACCTGCTAATCTGAAGGATAGCTCCAGAATTGTGTAAGTATGTTTAGTGGGTCTAAATGCTCGTGAAAGCAATCAAATTCTATTGCAAAAATATTGATGATAAACAAGCATTAGTTTTTCTGGGTGACCTTTTTGAATAACGACTGAACCAGCTCTGTTGAAACATACAGGTTTTACCTGTATTCAATCATAAATGGGATAAAAACAGTTTTGATCTTGTTTTCATTAAAGTGAGCAGGCCTGCTCTACAGTCATCAAGAACATGCTAATCCAGTGGAAAACAGATTTTAAACATTTACCCTAAAACCAAGAAAAAGCTAAAAGAATGTGACCAATCTGCGTCATTTATCACAAGTTATGTTTGAAAACTAGTGAAGGAAAAGGGAACACAATTTAAAAATAAGTGCTTTACTTTATGTAGAAATGGAGAATTTTCAATATTTTGTGCATCTTTTTCATAAATGTTTTCGTTTCTTAGTGAACCAGTTCAATATCTACAGTAATTGCTGGGTTTAGCATGTTTTTCTTGCTCCTTTGGGAAAACAGTGTTTCCTCATTTTTTAGCAGGTTCAGGAGAGCAGAATGCTTTCATTTAGCTTTCTCAGTTGTTGCAGGGACACCATAACTGAGTTTTCTTGTGTAACAGATTCAATTTTGAATACAAAATGAGCTTTATCTGAATTAAGTCTTACTAGACAGCATCAACGAGAGACAATATAATTTGTTATATTAAAGTGCATATCAATGATTTTGGATAAGAATATTGTCTAAATCATGGTTGTTGCTGTTATTAACAATAATGTTTACTAATTAGATTAGCTATTATTTAAACAACAGCTATGAATTCTTAACATTATTGTACACAGTAGCATAATGAATGCTTTATAGTATAAACTTTTAAAGCTTGAGGTTGTCGTACCATGCTTACTTCTATACAAGGATTACCACACAATCTTCATTTAAACATGGCAGTGTAATGAATTTTAATTACCTCACCATCTGGAGACAAGTTACTCTTGTTTGAGTTTTTTAACTGGTGAATGACAGAGGTATTCGAAGTTGATGGACAATACCCCCAATTCACACACTAAAGTTAAAAGATGAACACATGTACTCATGAAAACTGGGGATAGCAAACAAGAAGAATTTTTACCTCAAAATTTTCTTTCATCTGGGATATGCCCAGCATGCCAGATGAAAGAAAAGTTTGGGGTAAAAATTCTGTATGTTTGACATGTATGTTTTATAATATGTCTTTCTACAGTACATTGCTGCTCTTTTAGTCCTGCCATGTTCATGCTGGCTGTCTTCACTCTTCTCTCAAGCTTATCCTACCACATTTCAGAGGAGCAGTGGCACACTGGGAAGAGTGGCACATCAGTCAAGACGTTTTGCTTTTCTTTGTCAGGTAATTCAGGTGGAATCTTACCGTGCTTATCTTCTGTTCGTCCACGATCAAATTAAAATCTTCACCTTTTATTTTTGCATTTGAGCACTTAGCATGGGATTTATGTCTCTTATTGTTTCTGCATGGGGCTAAACTTTTTACAATTTTGTTACATGCACCTATCACAGCCTTATCCTTTGCTCTTCTAATTAATTTACTGATCTGCGCAAAGGTATTAAAGCTGCAGCTCTTGCCTTCTCAAGCTCAAGGATGTTCCTGCACTGTTTTGAGTTCTGAGGTCAAATTGAAATTAGTAGCAAGTGTGTCTTAAAGGGATTAATCATGGATTTACAAAGAATGAGTCTCTCTTACAATTTACTTCTTTTACATTTCCTGGACTGAAAGGGATAATAGCTTAATGGGAGTAACAGCTATAAGATCATTTAAATCCATTCATTGCCATTTTCTTTTCAATTTCTTTGTATATGCAACGGTTTCAGATATTACTCTATAGCACCTCTGAAGTTTTCAAATGACCTCATAGATGGCTCTTACTTTCTCTTCACAGAAGTTCCGCAAGTTCTCTGCAGTCTAGCTAAATCACTGTGCAGTAGTAGAAAGAGACACAAAGGCACAAGACTGTGCTAGAGATACTATTAAGTGTTTTAGAAATGGAAATAAAGTATTTATGTTCTTGTTTCAGGTTGTCTTATAACAATGTCTCGAGAGATCTGTCCATAAGAGATTTATGACCCCATCGGCACAAATCTTATTAATATGTAGGTATGTTGCTTTATGTTGATAACTTCACAAAAATTCCCCCTTTAATGTACAGTAATCCATCCTTCTAATATTCTTGATGGAAACATGTTCATAAAACATGTTTGCTTTAAAGCCTTTAATTAAAAATTCAACTGAAAAAAGGAAAATAAAAGAGACAATATTAAATATATAATCAAGCCTTTATTTAATGACTTCTCTTCTGTACATGCATAATCTACTGGTGAAATCTACCAAAATCATTATGATACATCATGATACAGCTAAATTAAAAGTATATATTTTAATGTAATGGAAGTAGGGGAAAAAGGCATTACAAATTGCAGCACATATCAAAGATTTAAGATTTAAGTCATATCAAAGATACATTACTAAGCCCAAGTGAATTCTAGAATTTAAAGAAGCCAGAATGATGCATTTTGATAAAACAACTGTCTTGCCACAATGGCTTGCTTTCTTGGCATTCCAAACACAGCTTCAGCATCTGCTTTGTTTTCATTAAAGAAGAAAAAGCTATCTCTAGGTAATGAATATTACATATTAGTTTTAATTTCATATGAATTAGAAATGGAAGACATTTTAATGAACAGGTGGTATTTTGCTTTTTTTCATTTTTTTAAACCTAATTTATCATCACAATTAACTATGTAATTTCTGGGAAACTACAAATTCGTGAACACCAATGTCTAGACACAAATGACTTGACATTCATTGTATTCACATATTCACTGGTTTACTTGTGCCATTTACATTTGACCTTCGATAGGATCTTCAATCCTGGTTTAAAAAATGGCAAGTACAGATTATATGTACAAAATGCATCACCCTCTGTAGTATGAGCAGAAAAAAGCACCAGGCTTTCCTTTTTTTAGAATTCAAAGAGATTCTGCATCATAAACTACTCATTTTCCACAAGGTGTTATGCTAATGAAATACTTTTAATACTTTGGCTAATTAAAGTTACTGTCTAATGTCATAGTTTGGTGAAAACACAACTAAGTGTTCTACAATTTCTTTACTTTAAATACCCCAAAGATACAATGTAAACACCAGAAACAATGTAACCGCAGCTCATACTTATCAATAAAAATGTGTGACCCCCCTTTTAAAACATTACCATCATCAGAGGTGTCAATCCTTGGAAACAAACATTTCTTTAGTGTTTGGTGGTCTACCACTTACATTCATTGTTTTAGGATCATCAGAACAATCTCAAAGGGCTTATGTACAACAAATTTACATTAAATATAGTTTCACCCAAAAGCATTCACAGACATCCCATTTATGTTGATTGTTTAGTACTTACAAAAAACAGTATCTGTTCTTTATGCTGAGATATTCTGAGACATTGTTAAAGAGCTGTGCATAACAGGAGCATCTGGTTATCTTGAAATTATTATTCCAATAAAAAACAAAGAAAAACACAAAGACAGAATAATCAATTAATTTGCAGGGTGCACCAGGCGTTCCTCGGTAACCATGCTAACAATTCATTTAGCTTTTACTTTTTTCCACCTTCCCATGTAACACTTCTACCTGGTCAGCTGACCTACAACCTTCAGGAGGGTCTTATTTTCTTGCTTCAGCTGTTCATTTTCATCCTCTATGTCATCAAGATCCTGCAAAACAGATACATGCTTAGTTGATACTATGGACAGTACAAGCAGCATTGGCACAATTATTTTCTTTTGAAACTGTCACCTCCTGGGGTGACCACCTGGTACAGTATGTCTTCAAACTTTAAATTGTAAGATCTTTTTAATAACCATGCACAAATGCATGAAGATCATGCAGACTGTAACACCTGACCAGAATCAAACCCAGGAGCTTGGAAATGTAAGCCAACTGTCAGACATTTTCTGTAGCAATGACAGTAAAAAGTTGAGTTGAGATTTACAATTGCATTCAATTGAGAAATACTGGGGTATACATTTTTACAAAGTTGGGCCTATTATAAAGCCAGCAATAATCCATTTTTATTTTCTGGGCAAATTTACATACAGTAGACTAGTAAATAGGTATTTTACAAAAACAAAATCTGAATACATTTATTACAAGAATTATAAAAATAAGTTTAATACCTTTACCTTTTAAGTAAAAAATAAATTAGCTATTTCAATGTTATTGTTGTCCCACAGAACTTGCAAAATCATCTATTAATTTTTAACCCCACCAGACTGTAGCTACTGTGGACAGTAGACTGGGAACCCCTGAATTCAACCACCAACCAATTCAACCAAGAGGTATCAACATTCCTAAAACTTTAAAGCCCTGTTTTGTACCCAATGACACGTGCCCTAAAAACTTTTAACAATTAAAAGGCAAACGAGCATCTCAAATTAACAGTAAATGAGGAGCATCATAGCGAGGAAGTTCCATCAAAACTCTAATGAAAAGATGACACTTCTCATTTCCATCTTTCTCCATCACAAAACAGACAGTACCTCTGAATTAGTAATGCTACATTTGTCAGAAAGTTTAAGGATTTAAATCAAGTAGAATCCACAAGATAAGGCTGCTGATGTATACATGAGGGAGATCAACATTGGGAAGCCATGTCTGGAATCCTTAAGAAATAAATACTGTTTTCAGTACATCAATCTTCAACCTCAATAGTAAAGACTGCTGGCATCTTTGTTAATAAAAATTGGAATGTGTAAGTAGATAAATCAAGACAGATGGAGTCCTAGTAAGGCACCTTTAAAATCTTAACATTTCTCCTTCGACCACAGACTGAACAAGACAGTTGTTCTTGAAAACAAAATAGAACAATGCCCAAGCCATAAAAATCTACAATGGACAAAGGAGAGCGATTGTGGGAATACAACAAGAATGGGTAGTCAGCATTCCAGAGAGACAGGAGAGATGGAAGACGAGGCAACATAGCGCTATACATCATGAGAAACATTCAGAAACAGGAAGTTAAAACTGATGAGTTATAAGTTTAAGAAACTATATGGGTCAGATAATAAGACCTGCAAAAGCCACAGGCAAAGTGTTGAGGGGTATTTCAGATATTAATTACACTGGAAATCGACACTGTATAATGAAGCCGGAAACCTATGTGTAAAAAAAGAATGTTTTTTTATGGCAGAATTAAATTAGATGCCCATGGCTAATGATCTTACGGTCCTTTCAAACAATTAGGACATTAAGAGACATTGAGAGGTAACAGAGATCACAAAATGATATGCTTTCAAGTAGCAAACACAATTAGGGCAAAAGAAAACTCAATGCAACAGGATTAAGTTAAAGAAAAGGCATGGAATTAATTTATAAACTGAATTAAGACAAAAAGAATGCCACTAAAATCTAAAACATGTATTTTTTATCTGTGTAACAATAACAAAAGAACAGTAGCTTAGAAATCTGGTGTATCCTAGCAGAAAGAACTATAAAGCAAACAGAAAAGTAAAAATCAAGTATTTGGGGTATTAAATCTCTAGAGAGGGATTTTTTTTCCCTCAAACTTCTAGTTCTAGATGTTAAATAATAACATAAAAGGAGCAGAAATCACACATTTACTATAGGCTCTAAAGACAAAAAAAATCAAATCTCCAGGGCCTGATAGTACATTACCAGTGGTATTTCTAATTTAAAACAAAGAAGCATATCAATCCATTGCCCATTAACAAAACCCTTCCAACAGTCAAGACAATGACTAGTCAAGATTATGCTTTCATGTAATGCATGACTTTTGGTCACGTGAGATCCTCCCATATAAATTTCCACTTCCATGACATTGTCACGATCATCATCCCTCCTCTAGAGGGCCCTCTGACCTTTTATTATTAGTTTAATTATTACACGCACCTGTCTTCTGTTCAACCTGTCACTATATAAGTTATATGCCTCCTAAGCTCTGCGCTCAGTTTTGGAAGATGGACGCCACAAGGCTTGCCTATTCCCCGGGCTCGCAGGTAGCCCGGTAGCAGGTCTTATTCCCCGGCATCCTGACCATCTGGGTCCGGGGCTTGGAGCTCCTGGCCTCGTCTTCGTGTTTTTAACTTCCCTGTTCCCGTTCCTGTTCCGACCTGGTTCCTGTTTTTAACTGTTTGTCTTGGATTGATCTCCCAGCTACCTGGACTTTGGACTGGGACCTGTTTTTCCCTTTTGAACTCCCACTGGACTTGTTCGCCTGCGCTCCCCCTCACACCTGGATCACCGTCGGCACCACCCCCTCAGTCCTCCCATCCACTCCTCTCTGTGTTTTCCCTGTGTCCTTCTCCAGTCTCTACCGGATTTTACCGTCTGCACAGGGTCCTAAATTGTACTACGCGGGAGTCAGAACTGGTTCCTGTGACAGACATGAACAATTCCTTTTTACATAAATATCTATCATTAATTTATATGTAAGGAGGCACTCCAGGCTAAGATAGGGAAGTGCAGGACTAACCATCCCTGTCGTATCCTTATCTCATGCTTTCCCCTCCCTGTCTGTGAGTAAAAAGGGCTGTGAGATTAGTAATCTGTGTCCCCAGTAAATTCTGCTTGAGGCCAAGGCGTTAAGCAAAATTTCATAACTAGAACTAATTTTCAGTGTTTTTAACTTTGAAACAGTATTGGCCAAGTAAAGTTGAAAGTAAAAAAAAACATGGAACCCTATTAAAGAGATATGAAAAACAATCCCAATGAAAAGCACTCTAATTGAAAGTTGTCTCATAAAATCCCATTGGGACATGATAATTAAAGCTAATATAATGAGCCAATATGGTGACAGAATGCTATTCAATCTGTGAAGCTGAAAAACATGGCAACATGAGCAATATCACAGGAAAATGAAGGTCTCTTACACTAACAAACTGTTAAGGGGGATAGTATTTAATTGTAGCATCAGCACCAGACTACATACCTGACAATGAAGGACAGACAAAGACGATATTATGAGAGCAATGTTTGTACACGAGCATGCTGCTGCAACAGCAGGATACTAAATTGTGTTTATTAATGTTTACAACATTGCTCAAGGCCCAACGGTCTAGGTATTCAAATTTAAATGACAGACAATATTTACGATAATAATAATACGATTTCTGTCAGTAACAGTTTACATTCTACTATATCGTACAAGAATTTACACACTCAAAAAGAATGGACAGAAGGTGAAGAGGGTTGAATATAATCCATTTTGAGCAGTTAATGTTCACACAATCCTGTACTCTATTTTTCCCTTCAGCATATCCAGGTATAAACATATTAACTCAGTGAATACCTCGAGTTAAATCCGCCTGCTGTTCATCCTGTAACCCTATGAAGTGTAGCCAATTGAATGCCAGAAATCATGTCTTTTCTAAATCTACTATAACTTTGGAAAGACAAACTACTTTTCAAAGTGAATCAATTTAACAGAAGCATTTAAATCAATTTCGGATCTTCACAGCACGGAGAACCTAGTTGACCTCGAGGCTGTTTGCTGAAAGGCTGTTGGATCTTTTTAGACAGTGAAACCTGGTAAAGTGTCAAATAGAAGCCCACCAGGTTTCAGGTACACTGATAATTTTATTTTTTAGATTCCAATTGTGATCCCTCTCTCCTCTTCTCTGCAATCAAAACCTCAGTTAATTCACACTTTTTAAAGCTGAAACCTGTAATTTGTGTTGGTTTACTTCATTATGGTGAATATTATGGTATTTCAATGAAGACACTGAAATGGCCAAACCCATCCTTAAGCATGAGCATGTTTGCGGCAAAACCTGTTGACCTTTTTTATCTTTGTTGGGAACATTGAAGATGTGACAAAAATATGATTTGTTACACCTGGAAATGAACCTGAACACAGGTCAAGACTAACTACATCTTGTATCTGCCATAAGCAAAAAGACTAATTATAAACAAAGCACAATACTTTGACAAGATCACTTAAAATGCAAAGGTTATTTTAGATTAACAAAAAGGTCAAATTATCTTAAAATATTTTTTAGAATTTAAATGGATGATTAAAATCTTGGCTAAAATTTATAATGTACTGTGGTCCTAAGTCAATAAAAAATAGTGTAAAATGTACCATAAATATTCTTTGATATACAAGTGTCAGAGCCCAGTGATATTTCACCTTGGAGATGCCAAATTCAGATGCTCTTATGCTGTGTTGATATACACAAATGTGTACTGTATATTCTACAAGCTGAAAGAGAACTGAATCAGCACTGTTTCTGTGGAGTCAAAGAAAATGTTTCTTGGAATGTTATCTCCGTTTCCAGGACAGAGCTTGTGTTACATCTTCCTGAAACTGTTGGAATATCTGGTTTATGTGAGGATTAACGTGGCTGCCCTTCAGTAGACACTGAACAGCATGTCTCCGCTAAAAAGAGTTATCTAGAATTAGCAGATTAGTGTTTTAAATTTGAGTGCAAAGATAACCTGTATCTTGCTTCAAAGTCTTTACTTAATGTAATCCATAAAATGACAAATTATTCCCTGAATGACAAAAAGGCTGCAAAATCACACACAGGTTCTAATTGATCCGAATTAACAGGTTTCTTTTCTTCTTGTATACTTTTTTCCTGTGATGAAAGTACCTGTTAGCAGGTTTAATTTGTAACTTAGTAGATATTGAGAATATATTAACAAAAATGCAGTAATAAGGATGATCATTTTGTTGGAGTTGGAGTCAAAGTCA